TTTAAATGCATAATTAATGTTTTAATGTCAAAATACAATAAATTTTAACTCCCGATTTTTTCCCGAATTTGACTGTTTTATGTTCCCGAATCCCGCCCGAATTTGGGTGTTTTTACTCCCGAAAAATAGAGACTCTAGTGATAATGTATAAAATTTGCAAATTGTCATTCATAAAATCATTAAAATAATATTATGAATAGTAAAACATAGAGATATTGACTGAGGAAAAGATGGGCGTAAAGATTTAATCTCATAGTTATTTAAATACTTATTTTTAATACCTTCTGTCACGACATATATTGATAACAAAATGCTAGGGATTGAGAGCCGAGAGCCCACACATACATAGGAAAACTGTCCGATTGTTAAAATTAAGACTGTTTTCACTTTAGATTCATTCACTTTATTCTCGCTGTTATGTTATTCTTAATGTTTTTCATCAGAAATACTATTTTAGTCGTCAAATGAAAAACAGATTAAATACTGAAAGGAAACTAAAAGTGTTTTCACTTTATCCTCACTATCCATGAAAATACTCATGAGATTTAATAATGCAGTTTCTAAGAGATGTGTTTTGACCCCAATTTTACCATAATTATCGGTTAGAGAAACAAAACAGTGTTAAAATTAATTGAATTTATGAAAAACAAACAACACGTTACCGAATGAGTTGGCCATTGAAAACCAATGGGCGGCTATGGTTAGGGCGATGTAAGCCCTAAAGCCGGACTCTGTCTGGTATATCCTCTCCAACCACTCGCGAGCGAAATATATGAATAGATTGAGAATATGTATCGGAAGCCAACAAATGGCGAATAATAGCACAATCGTCGACAACATCTTAATCACCTAAATATTGGTTATGTATTATAGTATCGATACGATTGCAATAAACCATACAAATAAAGTATATGTTTAATTAATTATCGAAGAATTACGTGAAAAATAGGACAAGAATTCATTGTTTCCTAAACTCTATACACATTATTATTTATACTATTGGAGTATAAGTTGCGGATAAAATGTAATTTTTGTCGGCTAAAAGTTTTTCGCCGACTAAAAATTACATTACTTTCTATGCATATGAGCCGCAATTTATACCATAATACAAGTAGATTAGGATATTTAATTATTATTATGTGATAATATACAGTATGTGGTAACATGCGTGCAAAAGTAAATAGTAGTGCATTTCAATAGTAACCTTATTAACCTTAATTTTGGCGCTATTCTGTGCCTCATCGCGAACCAGGTCTGCGTTGCCCGGAATGGTGTGTCTCAACATTTTCATACCAACCGAGCCGTACGCGAACGTCAGCACCACTATTGGCAGCGCAAACGTTATTATAAAAATGACCAAGGTGAACGTGCGCGCTGTCTCAATACTCCAGGTCTCTTTGCAATCGTATAGCGTCTTATTGGCGAACTGGAAGGGCTCGGCCACCGAATTGAACCACGATATTGAGCCCAACCCTATGGCCATTGCCCATATTATCAGAATTATTACTGTGCCAAACGTCTTGGTCAGTCGCGCCGATGCCAACGGGTATATTATAGCTATGTATCTGTGAGTGCAATAAATTAGGGTAAATTAAAAACATATCTAAATAATAACAATAATAAAGATTAGATTTCACTGCCATTTAGCACTTCATTATCTGATGACGTTAAACAGTAATATAAAACATGATTGTTTGTTGATTAACACAATTGTGTACAACAAATAGTATTTGTTTTTCATTCACCCTTTAAACTATCAAATATTGTTAAACTGTTATCGACTTAACTATATATTAACCGGAAATAGCGATTCGCTGTCTTTGTTACTAAATTACATTTTATATCTCAGAGCGAAAGAAATGTTTTAAACAGTAATAAAAAAAATTTAATGAGAAAAAGTTTGAGACAAAAATTGATTTTTCAAGTTTTGTTGTTTGTTATTTTGTTATAAGTTTAGACAACGGCTTAACGGTTACATAAAAATATCCATTCATCGCTCCAGGAATGTAAGGCTTGCGTAAGAATTTAATATATAATTTGAGTTAGAATTTGAGGCATTTTATCGGCAAAAAACAGTGTGTTATTTGATATGTAAAAAGTATCAAAACTAAAAATGGTAAAAAAAACATTATAATTCATTAAATTCTTGTGCATTCAAAAAATCATTTGGAAATGAAAGTAGTTTTTTGTAAAAATATTTTGTTTGAATTTAATTAAATATAAATAATTTACATTTAATTTTTATGTTCTTCTAAAATATGTTACATAAATATAAAAAGTAATATATTTTATATATTTTTATAGACAAATGTATTTTATAACACAAAAAAAGATTCTTGTAATACATTATTAATGCAAATATTATACTCTATGTTAGACTTTGTTGTTATTTAATTTAAATGTAACTTTATTTTAAATTTTAAAAAGTCTTACTAATTTTGTGTTTAATTGAATTAATTTTTTCTCAAAAGTAGTAATTAAATAATATTTTTATTCCCATAATTTGTATTTTATGTAACTAATGAAAAACAATTTGAATGTAAGACATGTATTTGTTTTAGAAAATAACAGAGAGAGAGAGAGAGAGAGAGAGAGAGAGAGAGA